ACTGTTGCTGTTATCAGTAGAGGTACTACGTGATGTAACTACTAACATATACCACGCCGCCCAAAACATAGTCAGGTACTTATAACGTATAACCCTGTGACTATGCGCTGAGCCCCCTCTGAGCCGCTAAACAGAACTAAACCCTCTGAGCCGCTAAGCAGAGTAGTATGAATTTCAGCTGCACCCGAACTTTCTGCCCAAAGTCTTCACTGGCGAACACTGAGCAAAAAAGGCGTCCAGCAATGTTGAGGGCTGAGTGATCAGTGGCATTTTCATTTCCTTACGGCTCCAGTATTCTTATTAAGTAGTCGAAGAACTCCCAGGATCTGATTCGAATTGTTACCCTAAGGCTCTATAGGACTCATATATTAAGGCTTTTGGCCTTTGGGCCATTTTGAGCCGGTAGTCCCATGCTTGTCCTTCTCGACACATTTGATGCCAAGCTGCCGAGACATCGAAGTTGAGGTGCAGAGATCACCAAGGCGCGGCCAGTCCAAGCCCATCTTCAATTTTTTTGTAGCACAGGCTGTGAGTGAGCTGGGCTACCATAAAGGGCTATTACTACCGTAAGCCCCTTGAAGTAGAAACCTCGCACCGTAGACCCCCAATACAGAGCAAACAGCTGCATTTCCCCTCTTCGGTCATTTACCGTAGGTACTCGTGTACAGCATAGGCTAGTGGCTTCGAGGGGCCATAGACCTTCGCCCGCCCAGTGGGCACGAGGACACTATAGTCTCTTTAGGCATCATTTTTTGTTCATATAAAACCCAAGAGAATATCAAAAATATCATGTATTATGGTTCTAGGGGGGGGTATAGGACAGACCATGTGTCAGTGACAGAAGGCAGCAAGAATCAGTTGCGGTTTGATTGCAAGGCGTGAATCGACTCCAGTCGCATGATCTCGCCGTAGGAGCCTTCTGGATCTCTTGGGCCCGAAGTTTGAATGGTTTAGGGTTTTAGGGTTCGGGGTTTAGGCTTTAGGGGTTTGGGGTTCAGGGTTTAGGGTTGAGGGGTTTAGGGTTGCATCCCCTAAATTTGCAGCGCGGTAGCTCCGGATGCAAATTCCAACCCTGCATCCCATTGTCCGCGTCGCCACCTTTGGGGCTTAGGGTTCTGAGTCGCTTTGATGTCCTATTCCGTGTCTGCTGTCGCTTAGTCTTTTTGACTACTATAGGGGCCTTTGACCTTACAGCAGCCTTGTACCTTTAGATTCTGCGAGCCACAAGAAACAGAGAATGACCTAACATGCCCCTGAATAGCCTAAGCCTGCGAAACAAACAGTATCTGGGATACACCTTCGACCCCACATGCAGCCACACTCGCCTTCCAGCAAGCGCTGAGCAAGAGCTTCGTCATTGTCGTCGAGACTCTCGAGGTGGAACGCGAGTTCAACAACAGGGCCTTGGGTTTCGGGGGCTTTTGGACGTTGTTCTTGTGATGTTTCTCGGACGGCTTATGTCTAGCTGGGGCTTTATGGATTTCTGTTGCACTTGCGATGTGTCTTGGCAGGCTCATGTCTACCTTTGCCTACCAAACCCTATTGTTTTGTAGGTCTTTAATATGAACCCTAATACGGAGTTTATAGGGGCCCTACAAAGGTAGGGTTTGGTAGGTTAAGGTGGGGTGGAGGTCGCTACTGGCTACGCTGCACGAGGTGCGATCACAGCCGCACTAGGAAAAGTGCTGTTATAGCCTGGTAGGTTAAGGTAGGGGCGGCTTTCAAGGACCTAGTTCCATAGTAGTAGTAGTAGTATTTTTGGGTGGTTGTCAAATTTGTGGTCCCTTTTTGGGTACCCTAAATATTAGGTGCCGTATTATAATAAGGACCCAAAAAGGGACCCGAATATTGACAACCACCCATTTGAATTTCTCTCGGTCGGAGTCCTCTCGACTTGGGTTTGGTGGGTGTTTGGTTACAGGGTTTGGGTATAGGGGTTTAGGGGTTAGGGGTTAGGGTTTAGGGTTTAGGGAGTATAGGGTTTTAGGGGTTACAGGTTTCTAGGACCCAGAGTAGGCCCTTATTCCCTTTTCTGGGGCTCATGTTCCCTTCTAAGCCCCTTTAAAACCAAAAAGGGCACCCTTTTTATTCCTAGGTTCCTCTTGGGTCGAGTTTTAGAGGTTTAGGGTTTAGGGGGGTTCTATACATCGCCCTAGTTCCATAGCAGTAGTATATATGGACCCTCTGGGTATACTATAGCTGAGGGTTTAGGTAGTCTACATGAACCCCTGGTTGGTTCTATACATCCCCCCCCCCTCCTGTGCCAGGCAGCCCTCAGCTTCAGCAATTCGTGACAGCCTGAGTGTGTCGCACGTACATTGATATGGGAGTTTGCGAAAAGAAGGGGCTCCCTAGCTTCAAAGGCTTAATATAAGGGTACTATAAGGCTTCCTTTAAAGGGCTCTATAAGGGTCTAGAGTTTCCGAAAATTAGGGGTGCCTTACTTTTGAGTCCTTATACTAAGGATCCTACGATTTAGGATACTATATCTGGGTCCGCTGCGTGCGGAAACTACCACATTGATATGCCGCAAAGTTGGATTTAGGATTTGTGCTCGAGGGAAATCTGTTCTGTGTTTTGACCAAAGGGTATGTGTTGCCCAGATTGCAGAGTGCAAAAACTTTCTAAGTCTGTGTAAGGCCCAAGTACCCCAGGAAGTACTCAGATGTTCGAGTATTGTTTGGTTTACTATAGTAGGATCCCCAATATGAGTTTCAAGGAGTGTTGTATCGTTCGCTGTTCTGCTGGGTTCTGAAGGATATCCTGGTCTCTACCAAGAGAGCAGGATGTGGCATTTTACACCCGATCCCAACACCGCAAGTCGGGTTTAGGGTGTAGGGCTTAGGGTTTGGATGATGGCACAAGCGCTGTTGACGATTGGCAATGCTTGCTTCTGTCGTGTGCTAAATCACATAGTTTGCACAACCCTTACCCAAGGGGTCCATTTCCCCAAAGATTAGATACTTTGGCCCCAGCTACTTATTTTATTAGGGACTACTGTAAGGCCGAAGTAGCCAGTGAGGGTGATGAAGTTCTAGTAGCCTAAGTAGCCTAGACCCTTCGGCTGCTTGGCTTTGCAGTTTAGGGTGCATCGTTAGGGTTTAGTGTCGGCGGCATGAGGCCTCTCTTAAAAAGGTACTTGGGGTGTGCACCTACCTTTGTTTCAGGCTTCATTTAATGAAGTCATGTTAAGGAGCCTCAACAAGGGAAGTTTCGTAGGGCCCTCAGAGCCCTGAACCCGAAACCCCTAAACCCGAAAGCCTAAGCCCAGGTATGGACCTGAACACCTCTGCATTCAGACGGCGAACCCGGAGGCAAAGGGGTTCGGTGTTTAGGGTTCTCAGGTTTACTATAGAATAGGGTTCCTTCAAAGGGCTTTACAAGGGCTACTATAAGGATCTAGTGTTTATTCAGTTTAGGGTTTAGGGAGATCTGAAAAAGTCAAACGATTGGCGAAGCGTCTTCCATGCGACACTTAGAAAAAGCTTAACATAGGGGTTTAAAGAGTTACCTAAACCATTTGGGGGGCTCATTTTTGTAATTGTAGTATAATGGGCCCCAAAACCCTGTTCTAAATATGCAGGTCCCTATATTAGCCCTATGCCTCCACGGACCTCATAGTTAGGGCCCTAGACCCCTTAAGGACCCCATAATAAGGTCCCTGGAGCGATAGGGTCGGGTTTTAGCTTCCCCTTAATTAAGGAATATACCTTAAATTATATTAGGGATCCCTAATATAATTTAAGGTATATTCCTGAATTAAGGGGTTTTGGAGGCTCTGGCTTGAGAGGACCCGGATGCAAGTTCGTCGTTCGGCGGTCGACTGCCTGAGGCTTCAGGCTTTTTTTGTTTTGTGTTGTAGCGATGGGGTCTAGGGGTTCAATGTTTGTAGGGATGGGGTCTAGGGTTCAACTACTATTTGCTTAAGAATCCCCAAAAAATAAAAAATATATTCCTTATGGGGGTAATATAGGGATTATTATTTTTATTTTTTGGGGGTTTCTTAAGCAAATAGTAGTCAATGTTTGTAGGGATGCGGTCTAGGGGTTCAATGTTCAGGGTTGTCAGGTCCAGGGTTTTTGGTTGGAAGGTTTTGGGGCTTTCGTGTTTGGTTCTTCAGGCTTGAAGGGTTTGGGGGGTTCCTCTGTGTGGACACATCGACTTAATGTGTAGGAGGGTTTAGGGACTTGCGTGAAGTTTCGGGTGGTTTTCACATGTTCTAAAGTTTTACTACCGGGCTTCCAGTTACTTTGGAGTGCCATATGGCCTCAGCCAGGTCAGCTGGGCAATACAGAAGCCTGAACAATTGCAAATATTATCTTTACGGGTTCTTCATGTTGTTTTTGGCCATGATATACTTCAAAACACCACTCTTCTTGTTTCTAAGACCCGTGTATTATAAGAAACATGGTACAGCATGTCAATGTTGGGTCCTTCTTTGCGAACGCTTCGGTTAAACAGGTTCAGGACTTCTGGCATTTTCGAGATGCTGTATTCTCCATGTAACCTTAAAAGAAAACTTCTAGTTTTCGCCAGGGGAAACGGACAAGTATTCAAGATTCTGTCATCTGCATTAGGTTTGTGTAGTAATTCTGGTTTTAGGATCGTGGTCTCATGGCGCAGGTCAAGGGTGCTTTTTTGGGTTGAACGGAGCAACTTGTTTAGTTCTCCATATCCCAGCTGGCTGTGCTGCGAGACTTTCAGGCAATTCGCAAGGCTTCTTCGAACCAGGTACCGACAACATTGAGTTGCACACGAGCTTGGAAACTTAGTCCATCTGCATGCAGCCGTTTCCAGACGACAGACCAGACAGCCATTTCATGGCATCTGTCAGTCTAGTTGCAGTCTGAAACGCCGAACAATCCAGTTTTCGTGCGCGCATGAGCTTGTAGGGTGTTAACGAGCATCTCGAGCAAAGAAATAATGGCCTCCATGGCTCCCTGACAGATGAGGTATAGTCTTCATGCTTTGACAACTTGATCCAACTCGGGCGGCAGGTCATGGGTTGTTTGGGGCTTCGGGCTACATGGGTTTCAGTGCGCCCGGGGATGCACAGGATGGCTTCAAGGAGCGTAGGCCGGACAGGAATGGGATGCTGCTGCATCTTGCTGCTAGCAGCCTGTGTCTTCGGGCCATGCTACTTAGGGAGCCAAGGGACTCGCGGGATTTCCATACGATGCCGAAGTCATTCTAAACCCGAAGATGTACCTCCGGCGAAGCGTGAGCGGATGCTGCAGAGGCCCAGAGACACCTTCAGGCGGCACAACGGTCATAAGAAGCGAAAAAACAAGGATTTGTACTTTGGGAACTGGCCACTGGTCCCGTCTGCCAGTCGAAAACTTGAGCGGGATCCTAAGCTTGGGCACTGGCGTGCAAGACTGAAAAAGGAGAGATCCCCCAAAGACTTGCTCAAGTCTTTCCGCTATGCGCTCCGACGAGGTGAGGTGGATGCCAGCGTGGTGAGCTGTGCCATGCAGAATTGCGGCTACCACCGCTGGTGGGAGACATTACTCAAAATTCACGAGGCTCAAGAGCAGCGCAACATTACTCGCTCGGCGCTGCAGTCCAGAATCTTTTTAATAGCTATGGCCTCTTGCCTCAAAGACCATACACTTGCAGATGCTATCCTTGCAGAGAGAAGGGAACAAGGCTTGCAACTTGGAAAATCTGTCTGGGAAGCGATGCCAACACCGACAACCGAGTTCGATTTCAACCCGGCGATAAGTGGTGCTTGGAGTCTTTGTATCGCAGTCGGACCAGAAGCACTTGAGTGGGCGAAGCAAATTTTTGCGTGGTCCGAAACGGTGCCAATTACCAAGGACAGCATTTCCTACGGTAGCTACCTGTCCGCGCTGGAGAGCTGCGGCCAGCATGGTGAGGTAGATGCTCTGCTGCGCGACTTGTTTGGTTCAGGTGACACTTCAGCACATCCAGTTCTTCTTGGCGATTTGGTCAACTTGGCAGGCACTTCGTACGACTCCAGACGTGCAGACCGAATATGGAAGATGTTGGTGAACAGGTTTGGTGCAAAGCCTAACTGCATCTGCTACGTGGCGTACGCCAAAGCCAATCTTTTGTCGGCAAGGCCGGCGGCAGTGGTACGGATTTTGGATCGCATGACTGCGGCCGGCCTCGGCTACGGCAATGCCCACGCAGCACTGCTATATTTGCAATCATTGCTTCTAGTGTGTCATTCTAGCCCGACCACTGCTCGCCGGTCTGCTTTGAACAAGTTCTTGCGAGCTTCAGACAGCCTCGACGTTGCTGGATGGAGCTATCGCATGCGGTCAGAATGGAAGGAACTGCTATCTCGGTCAACACAACTCGTAGCAAAGCTTTCTTCAACTCTGACCTTGCATGACATTCTCGTCCTTGACAATGCGAGACGATTGAGTGTGATGGCAAACTGGCCTAACTATGCGGCCGGTTCGAAGTACCTTCCGAGAAGATCTGCCAAAAGACCAACCTCGCAGAGCAACGAGTGAAAGCCTGGCAACCGCGTTTTTCCACGGAAGGATTGTGCCTGCCAACCCGTTGGATCAACAGTTGTGTTGCAGCCGGTAGTGGCAGGTCTGAGCCAAGCACACACTTCGCGGGGTCATGAGAAGTCACATGCAGCTAATGTAGAAGCCTAAATAACTACCAAAATTGTTCCTTGGGGTTCCTTAGCTATTAGGGTTCCTTATTAAATACTGATACTACACAGGAGCCCAAAACCTTATTCTAACTATTGAGGCCCCTACATTACAACCAGTTTTCATTCTGGGACCTTGGCCTGGTACGCGCTGTCTGAGTGCTTCCCATTCTTTCCCAGTGGCGAACTTGGCCCAGAAGGCAACCGTACGTTGAAATGAGCAGAGCTTCGACGACAGCAATGCTTTTAGAATCAGCAGCCTGTTGGTTTTGCAAGCAGCAGTCGTGGTATAAGGGGCGATTGCAGTATGAGTCATCTGACGCTAAGAACACCCACGATAGTACCGGTCATGGTCAGCACCACCATCACCCTCACGAGACTCACACAAGCAGCACAGGCCATAGGCCTCGTATCAGTTCTCCGCTTGTACATAAGCTTCAGGAACATACAAGTATGATCAAGTATGTATGCATACATACATAGATACGTACATACATGCATACACACACAGAGGTATATGCACAAGAAGTTTCATGATTAAATCCTACAGTAACCAACTAGCAGCAGTAGTATTATTCAGAAGACCGGCCCTTCTTGCCGAAAGAACCCTTCAAAGTGAGTATATCTCCCGGAGTGCCGAGGAATTAGACCTCCCCGTTTCCTGTTGTGAAAGGCTGTGTCAGCGTAGTGAGTGTGTTTAGCTGGGGTTTCGACTCGTCTTCTTTTGGGAAAGCCGTTTGTGCTCAAGGGAAACCCAAAAAAGCCCGGAAATCTGGAGCTAAAGACGTATAGCCAAGCCATGGTCATCGTTTACATGGCATGTCAACCAAGAAGCCTTGCACGTTCCCGAATCTGTCCGGGGGTGAGCCCGAATCTCAATGCTTGCTGTTGTTGAAAGTATTGTAAAGCGCAAACTTACCTTAAGTTTCAACCGAGAGTTCACGTTTACGGCTTTGGGCCGCGATGTAGGGCCGGAATAATTAGTAATGCTAGTCCTCAGGCATCTTGTTTGTTGAACATAGACAATGATGCCCCAAGACCCCTCCTAATCATTTACCCGAAGGCCCAAGGATCCATGTGCCCAAATCGTGCATACTTCGGCCTCAAAGGCTTGGGGGCCAAAGTATCTACTGTGTGGATACATGGACCCTTACTTGGAGGTTCATGGATCCTTATAAGCAGGGTTTATAAGTAGGATAGCTATATATGTAGTCATAGCTTGACTGAATCCAAGAGCTTGCCAAACAGGCATTGTGGAAACTCTACAATTGCCACCCCGGAAATTCAGATGTCAGATATTCCGATAATCATTAAGAGCCGTATAGTACAAACAAATCGAAAACGTCAGAAATACAGAAATTCGAATTTCCGGAATTTCCGGCAAATCATGAAATTCATGAAAGCCGAATTTCCGGAATTTCGGGAATTTCAGGAAAATCATGAAATTCATGAAAGCTGATTTTCCGGAATTTCCGGAAAATCATGAAATTCATGAAAGCCTATTTTCCGGAATTTCCGGGATTTCAGGAAAATCATGAAATCCGAATTTCCGGAATTTCAGGAAAATCATGAAATTCATGAAAGCCGCTTTTCCGGAATTTCCGGAAAATCATGAAATTCATGAAAGCATATTTTCCGGAATTTCCGGAAAATCATGAAATTCATGGTATCCGAATTTCCGGAATTTCAGGAATTTCAGGAAAATCATGAAATTCATGAAAGATGATTTTCCGGAATTTCCGGAAAATCATGAAATTCATGAAAGCATATTTTCCGAAATTTCCGGAAAATCATGAAATTCATGAAATCCGAATTTCCGGAATTTCCGGAATTTCAGGAAAATCATGAAATTCATGAAAGACGATTTTCAGGAATTTCAGGAAAATCATGTGATTCATGATATTCGAATTTCCGGAATTTCCGGCCAACCATGAAATTCATGATTCCTGAAATACGAATTTTCGTATTTTTATTAATTTTCTAATAATTAGTTATTAATTGATTAATATTAATAATACAATAATTCACATTATATTTATATGAAAAAATATATAATTTCGAATATCGTCATTATCATGGCTACTATCTATATGAGTGTATATGAGTCATTATATGAGTATATGACTGCTGACACTGGATGTGAGTACAGGGTGGGCCGTGTTTCTGAAAAGGCGACAGCATGGCAGCATAGACTCATAGAAGTGACTCGCCGTTGTTTGTGATCCAAAAGGTGGCTCGAACAGGGGTTCGTTCTGAGCCATGCGCTTTCGCCCTTGCGACCTTTGAAACTTCGGCTGACAGCCAGAAGACATGTCGGATGAGGAGTTGGAGCAGCTCGATGCGCTGGTCAGGGAGGTTAGGAAGAGCACAGACACCCCAGCTCACCGAGGGCCGCTGTCGACCAAGTTTGCGAGACTAGCACGCAGTCTGAAGCTTTCCAAACAACACAAGCATCAGGTGGCTTTGAGAGTACGCAGCTTGATTGGGAGATACAATGGGCGGCACGCCAAAACGTCAGAAGATCTCATCAATCTTGATGAACGCAAGCTGCCAATCCAGAAGGGCAAAGGTAAGTACAAACAGTGGTTGCCCGCAGCTCTTCTCAGAGTTTGCTGGGGCGGTGACCAAGGCGGCAAAAGCCCGGCTTCGGCTGTCAGCCAGAGCAAGGGCAAAGGCAAAGGTGACCAAGGCGGCCAAAGCCAGACTTCGGCTGTCAGCCAGAAGGACGTTCCTGTCAAAAGGATGCCGACGGCCATGGCAGAGGCCGTGGAGCCAGAGCCGCGGTATCTCTTCGACGTCACCAGCGGCAACTCGTGCTTGATCTGCGACATAACGTGTCCGTCGGACCTGCACCTGCAAGCGCACCTCATGACAGAGTGGCACATGAACAAGATTCGGGAGAAGCAGCGCGAGGTGCGGGCCCGCGAAGCGGCAGGTTCGGCTGTCAGCCAGGAAACCAAGCCGCCACAGCTGCCGCTTACCTCCAAGGCTCCTCCTGGTGAGCCCTCGGCCAAGACAGCGCAGCCGGCGCAGCCTGTGGCGGCACCTGAGCTGAAAGCACCTCCGAAGAAGAAGCCAGAAGCCGTCAAAAAAGAAAACGAAGGAGTCCCCACCACTGCAAAGGCACCGCCACCTTGTGTCACTGCAGAAAGCAGCACCCCAGCTGCAGCAGCGCCTCCTGCAGCACCGACTCCGGCTGTCAGCCAGGCCCCAACAAGTGGTCCGCCTGCAGCACCGACTCCGGCTGTCAGCCACACCCCAGCAAGTGGTCCACCTGCTCCTGCAGCACCGACTCCGGCTGTCAGCCAGGCAGAGACAAGAGAAGCACCAGAGGAAGCGCCAGCAGCGTCGAGCGCCACCGCAGTGCCTGCAGCGGCGAGCCAGGCAGCGCCGTCCCAGCCCACTCTGCCTCCGGCTGGCCACCAGAACCCTCTCCCTCCTCGACCACCGCCACCGCGCCGCTCTTCGGCTGTCAGCCAGCAGGGCCAGCAGGTCAAAAGAGAGGCGGACACTGCGCCCCAGCCTGAGGTAAGTCCGCGCATCGTGAAGGCGCTCTCGGACAGACAACGCCTTCTGGCAGAGCTGCCGCAGGTCGACGAGGTGCTGGGCGTGGACAGCTATAGTACGCCCACATACGGGCTCCGCAGCGGCGCCGACACCAACCAGGACGGCCACAACGTCCTTCACCTCTTGGCCGAGGACATCCGCCTTGGTGAGGTCAGCGAGCTCTTGGCGCTGCGTGTGGCGCAGGAGGCGCCGGTCAGTACTCTCAATGAGTACACCAGAGGGGGCCGCCCGGCCGGCGCGACAGCCCTGCACATGCTGGCTGGCGCAAGGCGCGACTCTGAGCGGTTGCGGTGCAGGTTGGCTTCCATTTTGATGGAACGCAACGCCAATCCGGAGGCTCGCGACGCTCGGGGGGCCACTGCCTTGCTGCGGGCTGCCGGCGTCGGCTCGGTGACCATGGTTCAGCGCCTCATAGAGGCTAGGGCAGATGTGCACTCTTGCCACGCCACTACCAGGCGCAACGCCTTCGACGTTGGCAATGCGGAGATGCGCGAGTACCTGCGGCATCACCACAACCTCAGGGGCACAGGCCCATGTTCCCCGATCGCTCCCGCCAGACCAGAGACGAAAGGGGCGACACGCACGCGAGCCAGGCACGCAGGGATCGCGGTGAAAGGTACAGGCAGTGGCGCTGAGTTTCTGCTGTCAGCAAGGCCAGTGCTTCTGCTTTCGGCTGTCAGCCAGAAGTACCAAGTAGCAGCTGTGCCTTCGGCTGTCAGCCAGGCAAAAGCGTGCCAGCGTGCCTTCGGCTGTCAGCCAGGCCTCCAACCACGGTTGCCACAGCTCGGCGGCTCCCTCACAACGTGCCTTCGGCTGTCAGCCAGGCCTCCACGCTGCCGGCGCGCGGCGCTTGACTCAAAGCCGAGTGCACGGGTGGCGCCAACAAAATTCCGTCGGTTTGGCAGAGGGACTGGGGAACGGCGGGAAGGGTAAGAGTCGTCTGAGTTGTCGGGTCACATGTGACATGTCACGACACTTCCACGTCTTATGTGTCTATGTCTATGTCTATTTCAATGTCACAAGTCACAATGTCTATGTCAATGTCACATGTCTATGTCAATGTCAATGTCTATGCCGCCCCTACTTTCCCCACCTGATGTTGTAGATCATGTAACCACAACTTTATGGAAACCACCCTATTTTGCCCCGACACAGTAATCCACAATATCAATGTGAACCACCCCGTTTTACCCTACACCGACATAATGGAAACGACCCCGATTTATCCCACCAAGCGACCCTGATTCTACCCCGTTTAATGCTATATAACTTATAACTTATATT